TTGACCCCCCTATACTGAATTTTATTGTTGTTAACAACCATTTGATCAATAAATATGAGAGATGCCCTCTCAAAAAAGAAAAAAAATATATAATGTAAAGCCCAATCCCCCTTTTCCATCTTTCTCCCCAGAACTAACCACTCTTCAAAAATCCACACATACATGTTTTTATACTTCTATTATACATACTAGTATTTCTATAATAGTTTTATGTATTTTTAATTTTTGTAAAATGAGAATCATGTATATATATATCATTTTATAGCCTGCTTTTTTCTACTCAGCAGTATGTTTTGAGGTTTATCCATGGTGACCAATTTACATCTAGTATAGTCATTTGAGATTTTGTAGTTCTGCTACCTGCATGAACATAACTTATTTATCTGTCAGGCTACTATGGACATTAATAGTTTCCAATTTTTCCTATTATGAATATTGCTGTGATAAACACTCTTGTGTAGGTCTTCTTGTACAGATGTGTTTCTTGGGGGTGTAATCCTAGAACTGAAATTACTCCTTTTGATTCTCCATATATATTGATTTCTTCTCCAAACTGAATTACAGTGTTTATTCCCACCAGCATGATCAAAGAATTTTCCCTAATCCTTACCAATATTTGGTGCTAACAAACTTTAGTTTCTGCCAAGATAATGAGTGTGAAATTGGCATCATTGTTGTTTTAATGGTATTTCCCTGATTGCTAATAAGACTGAGCTACTGTAGTATACTCATTGGCCATCAGTCTTATCTTCTATGAATTACTTTTGCATATCCATTGACTATATTTATTGGGTTGTTTGTGATTTTGGGTGTTCATTTCATATTCTGGATACTAATCTAATAGTTTAATGCATTGCAACAATTATCTTCCAGTAGCTTGTCTTTAAATTTTGTATGTGGTATATTTTGTTTAATACAATCAAATTTATCAGTCTTTTCCTGTTTGGGTTCTGCTTTTAGGGCCCAAGAAAGTCTTCCACACTTTGCGATCACAGAAACGTTCCTTACATTGTCTTGCAAAGGTTTTATAATTTTTTCTCCTCACATGTAAGTTTTTCTGTAACATATTTTTGTGTGAGGTTTGTAAAGGTATATTCAGCCTTTCTTTGAAAATGTATTTTCCCTCACTCTAGCCTGACAGTTCAGCTGCAGGCTGACAACTACTTTTCTCTCAGCCCCATGCATGAGATGCTATTACACTGCCTTCTGGCTTTCCGTGCTGAGAAATCTGTTGTCAGCATAATTATTGATTTTTCTCTGGTTGCCTTTGAGATTCTTTTTTCGCTTTGGTAATTTGCTGTTTAATTACATGTATTTATGTAGTTTTTTTACTAAGGTATCAGTGATATACAATCTTATGAAGGTTTCACATGAGCAACATTGTGGTACATTCACCCATATTATCAAGTCCCCACCCCCACCACACTGCAGTCACTGTCCATTAGCATAGTAAGATGCTATAGAGTCACTACTTGTCTTCTCTGTGTTGTACTGCCTTCCCTGTGCCCCCCCTACATTGTGTGTGCTGATCATAATGCCCCTTAATCCCCTCCTGAGCTTTAAATAATCGAGCACTGTCTCTGCCTTAGCAAGCCTATTCAACATAATCAAGAAACCTCAGTGCCTAACAGCTTCACCATCCCTTTTCCCACTCAGGGACTGGGACCCCATGGCTATAATAATTCTGTGACAGTGAGAAACCTAAACTACCACCTGCAACCTGACAACAGTGGGACCATGTCATACAAGCTCTAAAGGATGTATTTCTTTCTTTAAAGCATTCCAATATGAAGCAGTGAAAAACAATTCTAAGCTTCACCAATAGAGCCAAAACTGAAAGGCAGATCAGCACAGTCTTGGAGGCTGCCTCTCTCTTCGCACAATGTCTGGAAGATTTGTGTGACCCATACTGGGCTCCAGCCTCTCAGCTCTCATCTGTGTCCTTCTCCTCCGTCCTCCACCCACCACGCAGTGGCCTCATTTCAGGTTCTGACTCCTCATGCTCACTCTCACCGCAAGAGGAAATTCCACTTCTTCTGTCAAGAACACTCCTAACCCCCAGCTCTGAGCAATGTTAACTCCAACCCACTCTTCCCGTCTCAGTTCAAATGTTTCCCTAGGGAAGCTCTCTCTGACTGCAGTTCAGGTGAGACTCCTTTATTATAGACTATCATGGAAATGTGTCCCTTCATTTGGCTCCTGTAATTAGATTCTCATTGATTAATTAGTTGGTTAATGTGTGTCTTCTCCTCTAGACTATGAGGAGAGACCATGTTTATTTTCACTCACTACTGAACCCTCACTGCCTGTTTGGTAAATTTTTACTGAATGGATGTATAGGTGAATTCATATTAGAAAAAAAATAAGATAATTTTATTTAGTCTTCGATTGTCAAGATTAACAATTTGTGGAGTACAAAGTAGGGTGGAAAGAAACTGAGGACCTGTCAATCTAGCTGTTGTATAGACAAAAGAAAAGATTTTTTAAGAGCCATTCTGTCATGTAGGTTGACACTTGGGAAGGAGCGGGTAAGAAAGATCATTCAATACCAGCTAAGCTGTAATGTTGCTTTGTGAGTTTTCAGAAAGATAACAAATTAAGAATGTATTCATTCCTTGTTTTTTTTCTTTCTCATTTCCTTTTATGGACACCTAAAATCTTAAGAGATTAGTCAGTCCTCACTTTTTATCATATTTTAACTGTTTCTTAACTTATACAGGAAGGGAGAAAAGGAAGGCAATTCTGCCTTTTCATATTTAAAAACTTAGAAATTCACTTCTATAAGAATATCCAGTATGAGACTGGATCATAAGCACTCACACCTTTTAGACCATATTTCGTAACCTCCTTTGCCTCTAGGTCTGCCTTAATATTTTTTCTATTAAATAAAAGTCATGTAAAATGAAATTCTTGGCAATGGATTCAAATGCTATAATGGCAATGATACTTTCAAAAATACTCTAAAATCAAATGAAACTTATTTAAAAAGGAAAAGGAAATAAAAACTTCCTAAAAATTCTTCTGGTGATGATTTTAAAAATAAAAGGCCCTATAAATTCCAAAAAGTCATGTGAAAAGAGTATTAATTATATATTGAAATAGTGTTAGATTTTAAACTGTGACAACTGTATCCCCATATCCTAGCAGAATGACTAGCACAAAAGAGGTCTCAATTAATGTGTTTAATGAAAAAGTGCTTATTTTCACTATCACAATAGTTTTGGCTTAATCATATTTATAATTCAGTAACTTATGCTTTTATGTACTCTACGTATTCATTACATAGCGACTACTACTTAATTTACACTTGTGTCTTATATTTGTTGCGTTATACTTGTATTATACTACTTATGCATATTTTAATCTTCTACTAGTTGTCCAACTTTCAAATTGCCCTTGATCTGACATAGTCTAATGTTACATAGAATAATGTAAATACAGCCATACTCAGAGAAAAGTAAGCACAGATTCAGAAAAAAGATTCATGTTACAAAAGAGGGGGAAAAAACAGTTGCTAGACAATTAAAATTAGCTTCCTATAATCCCAACCTATGAAATTACTTGAAGACTTAAGAGCCTCCATCTGCTCCGAAAAAATTATTGTAATGAAGTATCATAAATCATCAATAACTTATTCAAGATTAAATAAAAGTTTAAAATAAAAATTTTATTTTAATAAATATATATTTGTTAAAAGTATATAAATAATTCAAATATATAATTTAAACAAAATAATTTAAATATAAAAAATATAAATAAAGATTAAAAATAAAAATGGAAAAAAATCCCTTCTTACTGCATTATGATCTCTAGTTTTCAATACACTTTTGGGTTTGGGGGTATCACAGCCCAAAATGGGTCTGAGAAGCTGATTTTAAAGCTAGTAAGAAGCTCCCTTTTGCAACATCATGTATTGAGATAGAAAGCACTCAGGTATTTTTCTTTTTTTACTAACCTACTTCTCTTTAATTACTGCTAAGAAAGTTACTTTTACACATACAACCTCAAGAATCTCACCCTCAGGACCTTTAATCATTTAAGGCATATATCCTTAGCAATATTTAACAGTTCATAGAGTTTATAAAAGGTCTTCTGTCTAGGCTAGAGACATACTCCATTGGCATTTAACCTTGTCTTGTACATTTCTAGAAAATCCTATCTGGGTCCTTCAATTTTCCACGCATTTCTGTTCCAGAAAGACAACAGAAGCCCAAGTTCTCTCCCTCACTATTGATTCCCTATTCCATAAAAAACGTTAGAGAACTCATGTTTGAATGGTCTAACCTGCGCTACTGACTGGACCCTGGTCAGTGAGAGGCTGCCTAACGGAGACCCTTTCAAAACCAGTTCACTAGATGGCTCTTTTTCTATGCCTTTACCATTTTAATCTCTACCCTATTAGAAAGCACTTCAAGAGCTGCAGGAAAATGTACCCATTTGGTTGTTTAGAATGAAAACAAAGCAACATTCTTCTTTCTTCTCCCCAGGGAAAATTAGGAGCCTGAATGTTGATATTCTTACACTAAATGATCTGACAACATTTAGAAATACATTTGCAGTATAGGGTTAACAAAAGTAGAAAAAGAAAGGAACCTACCCTTTCAGTCTCTGATTTCGTTATAAAATCAACCAAAAGGAAAAAAAAATAGGGCTCTTGGGTTTTTGTTCTATGAAAATAGGTAAAAGCACATTTTCTTTTCTTTTGCCTTTTCTAATTTTGCCTTTATGCTCTTGACCCAAGAAACTGTATCTGATTACATATCAGAGAGAATAATAAACCTAAATTGATGACTGACATTTTAACAGACTGAACAGTGGTATTCACTGAAATCCTGGACAGATTTCTAAGGGCTCTTTTCACAAGTGGGCGTCATAAATAGCCAGCATACTGAGGGTTTAATTATGAAATCAGAAGACTTGATTCACGACCCTCTTTTCAGAGCTCAGCACCTCTTCATTCTCAGATGCTAAGTCTTAGAGATGCAATCACCAGCACTTACCTTGTTTATTTCCTGGTCTTCCTCGAACATTTCCACAGTGGCTGAGTCCTGAGTGGACTCCTGCACATCAGAAGTGACCTGCTTCTCTCTGCCTGGCAGAGTAAACTTTTCTTTCTTTCCTGTTGAGTATTTTGATTTGAGAATGCCATTGAGATGATTTTCTGTCTCCTGCTTAGCGGATTCAAGTCTGTTTTCTAAATCTTTTTGTTTACCCTTAAGTGATTTTATATTATCTTTAATAATCTCCTGTCCCACTGAAGATGTGTTTTGCTTGATGGATTTTGCTAAAGCTGAAATCTTCTTTAATGTGCCATTTTGTAAACTGAGTCTATTCTCTAGTTCCTGTGAGGGAAGAAAATACTGTTATACGAAGTATCTCTGTTCAATCTCATGAGAGCTAATTGACTTTTGTAAAGTACAGTGTATTGTCCTTCACTAGTAGAAAGTATAAAGTACTTAACAACTCATATCACAAAGAAGAAACTTTGGACAAAATGTAAACCAATGTAGCATTCCAGATCAGAACCTCCAACAGATTTTAGAAGATACTAAAAGCTTATAAGAAGTAATTAAGAAAATTTTCCTAACAGTTCCTAAAACACAGGAGGCAATCATTTGTTGAGTATTTGTTGAGTATATATTTTGTTCAAGATACAGCCTTTTTATACAATCAAAACACTAAATAGTAAGTGCCTGCTTTGTGCAAAGCATTGAAAATAAAAGAATCATTTAGGAAATGCCCACATGAATCAAGTGTTGATATTTAAAATTCAGAGCAAAGCTTAAATCAATCAATCTAGTGCAATATCTTAAATACAGTAGGAACTCAATCAATATTTACTAAATGTCTGAATGAATGGGGCCAATTTGAGAACTCTAGACTCAAAAGGACTTTGAGGTACTACAGCAGCTACTGATGCTACTGTTGAAAGAGAATAAACCTTAAAATTAGTAGGTGAACTATGTAGGATTTGTTAGTCACTACCCTAGTGGAATATACAATAAATATTCATTCATTTATTCAACTAACAGTGAGTAGTTGTTAGTTGTAACTACATTCTGAAGTTATATAGATGAGTAAAATATAGTCCCTTCTGGTTTCAATAGTCCAGTGAGAGAAAAAGAAGTAAAAGACAATTGTAATAGAATATGGAAAAATCTTTGCTAAAAAATATGTACAGGTCGCTGAAACATTTTATGCTGGAAGCAGGGAGTTCCAGACTGCATTTTAGAAAGATTTGGAGCAGCTGTGGGGAGGCTGCCTTGGAGAGGGTGACATAGCAGGCTGGGGGCCCATTTGGAAGTCCAGTTCAGGGTCTATGAGAGGTGGGTCTGGCCCTAAAGCAGCAGTAATGGGAATAGAGGAGCAGGGGCAAACTGCAGAGATATTCCAGGGATGAAAGACAGCACTTGGCATCTGATTACATTGGGGAGTCTGGAAAAGGAAATACAGATTTCTGATGTGGAAGCCTCAAGAGATGGTAAAGATACTCATGGAGTCAGAGAATACAGAAGAAAAAGCAGGCTTATTGGTAAGGAGGTGGGATATGGAGAAAGGTTAGGAGACAAATTATTTTCTGACATGCTGAACTACACATAACTGCAAAACATTCGCAAAGAGATGTCTAAAGACCTGAGTTGTAGCCCCAACTCTGCCAGTTGCGTTTGGAAGTCTCTCACCTCTCCAGAACTCAGCTTATCATGTATAAAATGAGGGGTGTGAAACTGATGGCCTCTCAGATTCCTTGTAGCTATAGCAAAAGGCTGTATTTTAATTTTTCTACAGGAGCTTGAGCTCCTCAGAGTGAGGCTCATGTCTTATACTTTCCTCAGTATTCGTGGCATCCAAAAGTGCTTTGGACATGATGAGCCCTCAATATTTGTCAAATTACCACTGTTAAAAAGGGAGACAGCCCTGTCACAATGCCAGGCCATTCTGGAGAAGTCTTGCTTGATTTGCAGGTGTTTAAAAGGAAGAGATGCGAAATTCCCAAGCTCATGCCAGCAGTGTTGCCCTGAGACTTACCCCATGAAATCGCTAGTCAAGGGATGACGAAAAGAAATAGCTGAGAAAAATGTTTTACTTTGTTTTCTTCTAGAAGATACCACTTGGGCCTGTTTACATTGGTTGTACAGTGAGAATCCAAGGAACGTATTTTAAGGATGTGAGTAAAGGGCTGCAATCCTCACTGTACAAGGTTAGGTGTTGCTAGTGTAAGGTGGAAAATTCTGGAAACCCCACATCTGGAGAAAGCTCCAATTTAGCCCATAACTACAAAAATTAATAAAGTCAAAATTACACAACTCCCATCCACCCATCATGAAGAAGGCAAAACTGAAACATTCCCCTATAGGTCTTGTTGCATTAAATGCACGCTTGGACTACCCAGAATCTGGAGTCACTGACTGTCTCTGAATCAAAGATCTCCAGGAGCTACAGCCTGGTCATGGGGAACAGTCTCTGAGAGTCCAGAGTGCAGGGTGTCGCTCAACTGAAATTACAAATGGATTTGTAAATGGTCACCAATGAAGAACATTCCCATTTTTTATGACTGGTCACAACTTCATCTAACAGTCATTTGAATAGCACTTGAATTTCTGACTGAGGACACTGATTTGTGAGGTTGTAATTAACATTGATTTTGTTTAATGTCTATCATGTCTGAACACTGTTTGATACCTGAAGTTTCTGCAGTTTTTCCTCCAGAGCTAGTTGATCCACAGGCTTATCAGAAAAACAGGCAAATTCCTTGGAGATATTGTCCAATGCAGTATTCAGGTCTGTAATGCACACCTCGTATGAGTGGTGTTCTTGAACATGACCTTCCAGTTTTTGCACAGAATCCTAGAAATAAAACCATTGGCAATTTATTAATTATGTCTCTCTATTTCTTCACTCAGAAAGTAATTTAGTTGTTCAGAAACACTTGTTTTATGAGGTTTCATCTTGAAACTGGAATATGTCCATAGATAATTTTGAGTTCTTAAGTTTTTACTGTTTGAGATATTACACTGCAAAATCTCCCTCTTTCCCTCAAAAATGAGTCCCTTTAAAACCACATTTTGTTTGCCCCATGCTTCTTTGCCTTCATTTCATTCCTGAAGACAATTTATTTGTCAAGAGGTTTACCAAATTAAATGGCTTCAAATTATATTGTCAGATCACACACGTGTATAGTAAAGTAGCTCCCTTAATTATCTTTCTTACTAATATCATGTATTAGTCTCACTTGTAAATGAGACTATATGAGATCAGCCTAACCCCAGATTCCTTTCCTAAGAAATTCCAACGCTGTGTGTTAGAAAAAGGAATCCTACCTAACTCAAGAGCAAACCCATCTTCAGGTTCTCTTTCTGGAATAAGAAACACAGTGAGGCACTTGCTTATAAAAGCAGCAGCTATTAAACTAAACAGCTTACAGCCAGTGGCTACCTCCTCACCCCAGAACAGCTCCTGCTGTCTGTGTAAGCAGGTTTGCTCACCCAAGTAATCCTTACATTGGGTCTGGCTTTAGTGTGCAAAGAATTACAAACTATTATTTAAAGAGAATATATTTCCTCATGACAAGCTGACATTTTACCTTGTACCTCTGTACTGCAGAGCACATGGAACAACTCAAAGGAGGGACGTTGATAAGGTATACTCAGAATAACGGATGTCAACTATTGCCAGAGATGATGGATGGATGGATGGGCAGATGGATGCGTGGAGGACAGATGGATGGATGCATGGATGATACACGGATAACTCTGACACTGTCACTTTCATAGAGACACCAAAAATAACTTAACCCTTCCTACCCCTTTAAAAAGGGAGCATTGATGGAAGTAAGTACCACCATTAAATAATACCCACTGGATTCCTCCAGCAAAACTGACTGGATTGATTCTTCCATCCTTGAGGAGTTAGTATTTGTATCTAAAAATGATAAATTACATTTTAAAAGCTTTTGACTGAACAAAAGAATATTAAAATGTTTTATACTCAAATATTACATAATTATGCATAATTATGACAATCATTTAAATTTTTATTTTGACCATTTCACCTGTAATTGTTGAAGAAGGCTTTCATGTAGATGCTTGATTTCCAGCCAAGGCTCTTCACTGAAGTTGGAGTTTTTAGTGCATTCCAAGAGGTAATTTCCTTGAGATTTTAACTCCTTTAGCAAGGATGTCAAATCTTGTGCTTTCTGGAGGAATTTCTTATAAATTTTTAACTGAGCTTTTTTCTCCTGCAAACCATGTTGTAGAGCAAAACCTACTTCTTGTTTCTTTTTTAGCTCTGTAAGCATTAATCTCAGGTCATCCTTACTTTGCAAATACTTCTCTCCTTCTAGCAGAAGCATTTCTTGATGGCTGATTTTAACAAAATATTTTACAGATGAAATGACACATAGCAAAATGGAATGGCATTTTGCATACTGTAATGCAACATTCATTATAATAAAAAGCATTCAAATCACACTAATATAAAATGTTCCCCCAAACTCTTGTGGCATTACAGCCTTCTACACAGCAGCAAGTTTAGCTCAGAAATCAAGACAAACTATTTGTAGTATTCCTTAAAAAAACGTTTTTTTGTTATAAAATTTGACCTGAGAACACTTAATACCTTAGATTTAAAACTATCCCAGTTTTTATTGTTTAAATACAATGATGTTATTCTACTTTTTCATATAAGTAAAATAAGTAAGTACTCATTATACTGGCCAGTTAACTACTAGTTTATGATTTTTGTAGCTTACATCTAGTTTTGATCTATTTGTCTCCTTAGAAAAATGGAAAACTCACATTTCCACTAAACACTGAATGTTTCATTCAGGATGTGATACAAATAAAAAATTTTTGGCAGAATTATGTCCATGGAATTCAGACACCTATCAATGTTTACACAGTTAAGAATCTTTAGGATACAAATTTAAAAGCATTCATTGTTGCACAGTAACCCCCCGCAGATACTGAGGTTGTCTAGGGAAAGCAGGTTGTGGTGCACAAGCAGGGTATTGTGGTGGAATGATCCACAACATTAATCTGTTACCACAAACCCCAAGGGTTGATGCACCAGCCAAAAAAAATACAGCCACAGGGTTACGGCAGCATGTTTAATCTGATCCAGAGAGCTATTCCTCTTCATTTCTGCCTCTGACATTACGGATGCTCCTGACATTACTGACTTTCTCACCAAAAGATATTATATCCACATACAGGAGGTAGACAAAACATACTTGTTATGGCTTCATTGTGCAATGAAAAACCATGAAAGTGGTGAAGGCAGACCCTTTACCTTAAATACGTGTTGGCTAAATGGAGGGTGTTGTCCCACTGGCTCCTGATATCAGTCAGGGTCTTTGGAACCGAAAGAACTTTGGTGCTCTCAGCCTGACTCATGATGGTCTCTATTTTAGCATCCCCTTCAGGCTTCAGTAAAATGATTTCCTGAATTAAATTTAAAAATCTTAGAATCTCATTCCTATTACTTAGGGATAGTATATATGATATCCTTTTATTATAAACATATATCAAGATTCTAACTGCAGAGAAGACTTCAAAATTACCCTTTCATTTTTATATGTGCCCCAAAGACAGTGACATCACATTACACAGAACTGGTTCTTAGTAAACATTTGTCAGGTTGATTTGACTACATCCCTGCTCTCCTCTTGATTTTCAACTGTCTTCAAATAAGCTGTATGCCCAAAACACCCTGGCAAATCTACCTTCCTATCCACTTCATTATTTATAGATAGAGAGTTAGGGTAACAAACTGAATAAGACACTTTTATACACCCATGATGAGACTTCCGGCTTCCCACAGGAAATTCAGTGTCCCTCCTGTCAACTCCTGCCTCTCCACCTCACATAATTTCCATTCTCTGTCTTCTCTTTCCCTCCTTTGCTCCTAATAATCAGGTATTCTGTCTTTAAACACTATTCCAGACTGACCTTCTCGGGAAAACCTTTCCAATATAATCCAAATGATTCCAATTACTTCAGTAAGTCCCTTATAGCTCACTATTCTTAACCATTTCTTCCTCTAATAATCCTTCAATTAATGTGACTTCAATTCTCCTGAGTTCTTTGTAAAGCTGTCCCCTGTAGTTTTAATTAGCAATATTTATTGACTCTCCTCTTAAATAAAGTGAGCTCAAGGGAGCTTGAGATTTCCTTCCCCTTCACAACCCAGTTTGTACCTGATAACCTTTAGGAACCATATAACCCTCTCAGTATCTAATGACCTTTATGAACCATACAACCCACTCAGTATCTAACAACCTTTATGAGCCATACAACCCACTCAGTATCTAACAACCTTTATGAACTATATATATCCACTCTAAAGAAGAGCTCCTCTCCAGCTCTGCCCTGGACATTGATGACACCTTTGCTATACTGACATATATTCTTACAATATCCTAGCTAACTCCCACCTGCTTCAGCTTTGACTTACTGCCTTTATTTCAATTTGTGTGCACTCAGTAAAGTGAGTCATCTGAATAGCTCAGTCATCTGAATGTCTTCAACCATTCCACACTGATTCTATTTTCCACTAAGAAAGGAATCTCTGCAGTTTTCCTCTAAATCTTTTTTCAAAGTTAGAGTTCATTTTGACTTCTGAAATTCCATTTCTACAGTTATACCTTTATTTTTTGGATTCTTTCCTCAAGTGGCATTTTGCCTTCAGATGAATTCAAAACCATAAGGGAGTCTTTAATTCCTGTGATCCAATGAATTACATCATGTGCAAGATCATTAAAGCGCTGGTCCTCAGCAGGAGGTAACTTATCCTCTTCATCAATTTCACATAATTGTGTCAACAATGTCTGGTATCTATCAATCAAATGTATTGATTCCATTATTATTTCTTCTTCGGCAAGTCCATGTTCCTTCAAAGAGTTGTTCAACTGGGCCATAGATTCAAACTGTTCCCTGTAAATTCCAAATAGCACTGAAAGTTTATAGGAGCCATGACACCATATAAGAAACTACATTACCAGGAAATATATTCAGATAAGATCAGCTCTACCTCTTCCTGGCGAGAGCTTCACAAAATAGCTCAGTTTTCTCTCCTGATTCTTCCATTTCTTTCCATTTCTCCTCTTGACTAGTCAACCACTTACTCAGATTTCTGTGGTCATCCTGGAGTCTAAAAGAACATTATACATGGTAGAATACAAAATGGGCAAGGAATGCTTATCTGAAGAGAAGTTTGGCACAAATCTTGTGAGCCAACCAGGTTTTTAATACACAAAAAAAATTCTCTAAGGAAAATTTAATTTGTAACATTAAAATTTAAAAAATAATAGCCTGTATGATAGTGGGATTCTACAAAGAGATGAGCTACACAAATGAATCATAAAGAACAGGAAACTGAAAACATTTCTGGACTCTCCCCTGAATCTTTGTCATAATAGGTAATTTGAAGAATTCTCCAAACTTCTATCTTCCTGGAGTTCAAACTTGGATTACAAAGTATGTATTTTATTTGTGAAATTTGTGTGTATTGTATATCCCAATGCCAGCTGTACTGAAGCAGAGTACATATAAAGTTATCATTAGAAAACGTGCTGTTCAGATGGCACCTTTATTTCCTACCTCAGCAGCTGCTGCAAGTGGTCATCAAGCTCCTTTGCTCGTGCCTGGCATACGGACTCCATTTTTTCTAATTCAATTTCTTGGTTTATAATCCAACTGTTAAGTTCCTTAACATGTGCTTTGGGCAGATGCTTCTTCACATGATTCAGCACAGTTCTGACCTGTTGTATTTTACTGCCTTTTCCTTCAAGAGTCAAGAAATCCTTAAGAAATCAAAAAGTCAATTAGAATCAATAAACATAAAAGTACAAATAAAAAGTCCTACTGGCAAGTGTGAGTATGGTCTCTGCCACCTCAGAAAAAGTCTATGACACTTTTCTGAGCCAGTGCATAAACGTGCCACCTCCTTAACATCCTATATAGAAGGAAAGTCTAAGGAGATATGGCTAACTCCAAAAGCAAATGATCAAAAGATTTACATTAGTTCTACAATGTGTATCTACCTCTGACTTTCTGGAAATGACACCAAAACAATAATGCAGTGCCGCCATGAAGGTCAGAAGGAGCAAGAAAAGAAAAGCATTTTTCTTTCCTGGCTCTGCTCAGCTTCTCCTAAACACTTGCTCCCTTCTGATCACTAATATGCAAAACTGAACAGATTATTCTCTGTGTAACTTTGTCCAAATCAGAATTTTATTTTAATGTTTGTGTTTCAAGGTTTGAGCATCAATTGCTGAGGTGTATACAATGGGCAATGTTAAAGGCAAAAGAGAAAAGAAAGCCAGAACTTCAAAAAAAGAGAGGAAAGGTGATTCTATCAATAAAGAACCACATCATCAATGCAAGGAATCAGAACGGTCTGTGCCATTGATAAGCTTGAGAGCATGACTTACCATCAAACAGAAGCGCTAGATAATCTACCTTAAAGTGATCAAGATTTAAGGGTGGGATACATACTTTAAATACCCCCATGCACTTGACTTTGTATTTCAGGCTACCCTCTACTACACTACAATCAGCAGTGTGTTAAAGTTCAAAAGCAATTTTAAAAGAAATATGACTGGGAAAAGATCCATAAAAGTCAAGAAACCTCTTTATGAAAGTAAAGGGATTTCAAAGCTAAATTAGGTCATCTTCACTTTGTATCAAATATGATTTTAATGCAACTCAATTCATCAGTAAACAGTAAGTTAAACAGCATCATAGAACAGGTATGAAAATAGAACTTGTTTAAGTCATTTGTCTTTTACCCACTAAACAGAGTTACAAAATATTTGGAAAAGGCCAGATTATTTGGAAATAGTACTTCTACATAGAGAAATTAGTAAGACAAAGCAATTATTATCCTATCTACTTAATTACAGTTCTATGCCTCTAGTATTATAGTTTTAATAAATTTTGATTAAAATTTATATGTCTTACAGAAAGTTTTTGTAGCTTTTGTTCCACATTCTTTTTTGTTTCTGATGATTCAAAACACTCTTTAAGGCTCATTTTAGTACTGCCAAACCAGTCATTAAAGTTCTTGCACTGATCTGCAGGAAAAATAACAGAACAACTTATATTCATCCTAAGAAAGCTTCATATACCTTGTTAAAGGGAGAAATTTTAAAGCTTGATTCCCATGTCATGGGTACAACTCACTGTGTAAAATGGTAATTAGCTGAAAACCAAAATCTGAGGGCTAACAGAGTCTAGAAAGTAACGTGGTCCAAACGTACAGGACAGCAAAGACACCTGCAGGCACCACCTGCTTATAGGCACATTCACCAATGTGATCAGGTCAAACACAATGACTCTGGTGACTTTGTTTTGTGAAAGAAATATATATTTATAACAGAAATGGATCAATGAGTGCTTACCTCCCCCCCACCCAGGGTTTATCTGAAAAATCTTTAATAAAAAAATAAATCCTTTTCCTTAAATATAATCTATGCAACCACCTCAAAGTGAGGCTCAGATTAGACTTTGTGTTCATAGTTTGTATCCCAAGATTCCCAAAAACACAGTAAGAGAAATATTGCACTCACCATTCAGTAACTTAGAAAAGTGATCTTGTAAAACACTTTTTTTGGTATTAAATAAGTCACTGACACTTTCATATTGCTTTTTCAATTCAGAGAGTTCAGGAGTCAGACAACCTATCTGATTTTCAAGTAACATCATACTGTGCTTTTGCTGTAGAATTTGTTGTTGTATCTCCTAAATTATAAACAAACAAACAACCATTAAATCTTAAAATGGGCTCACTTTTTGCAAAGTGTAATAGATCTCCACTGTTTTTGCAAAAAATCTAGATGATTCTCTATTGGATTCACTTTCTCTTGGCCAGTAAATGTAAAATGCGATGTAATTTAATACCAGATCATATCCACGAAGCAACTCAAAGGTAGAACTGTTAAATATACACAAATTGTTTTTCTGAGTTTTTCTTCCCATGCTTTCATTCTTTAAGAACTATTTTTATTACCTTAATAGGCCAAGACCATCAGAGATAAGTGTGAAAATAAATCTGAACAGAAGAGAAGCAGTTGGGAAGTACCTCAAGTTTAGTAAAGATTTCTAAGCTGTCGGAAGGAGACAAGGCTTTTAAGAGGGATTCAGTCCTTCCTATCTGGGTCTTGGCTTGGTCGAGGTCCTCCCTTAGCTCGGTTGTGCTGCCACCGAGTGCACAGCAGTTGGATTCTCCTGTTAAACACATTTTTACATGTTCTATCTTGTTCAGAACAGAGGACTCCATGACCTGAAATCATGAAACACAGGCAATAGTGTAGCAGACTTTGTTTAGCTAGATTTTAAGACAATTGTGTTGCTACAGAATGAGTTGAGCCTCTTCATTTTGATGTAATATAGACTCTCTACTTCTAATTCTTCATTCTTCTGCATAACTGATACAAATTCAAGTTGTTGAAAGAAGAGTAACATAAAAACTGAACTTGACATTGTGACTTTTTTGTAAGAGACTAATTTGATTACCTACCCCTAAATCAAGTTCTATGTAGCATTTCAATTGAGGTGCTAGCTCTTGGTGCTCATTTGGATACACATCAAAACACATAGAAAAAATTAAATAATTAGCATCTATTGTTTATTATGTACACAGCATCGTGGTAAGCACTTTATGTACAAAACACAGGCTTAAGAAAGTTAAGTAACTTGCCCAAGATCACAAACCTAGTAGGCAGCAGAGTCAGGACCTTATGCAAAAGTCTGACTCCAGACTTCGTATTCACTGTGCATTTTCACCTAAATAAAATTGTAACAATTCTCTTCACACAATAGAAAATCACACTCGGGGCAGTCTCCTTGATTCCCCATCAAGTAATAAACCTAGAATCACTGAGTCATAGTCTCCTTCCTACGCCTAAGACAGTCATGAGGAAACCCTTCCTACTTTACATGGAAGTATGCCAACATACCTCTCTCCACACAAAAGGTATGTGAAATAAGTGAAATGGGAATAAATGAATACAAAAAATATTATTTATTCTAATAAATAGGCTATTAAAAATTTGGGTGGACTTAACATAAAAATTGAATAAAGGTGAATTAAGTAATGATCTTAATTTTATTTTAGGTTTAAGATTTAGAGTTCCAGTTTATGAACATGAGTACATTAATTGTGACTTTTAAGTAAAATTTCTCTTACCTGCAATTCAAGAGGTATTTCACTGCTTTGAAGAAGAAACTGTATTTTAGCCACTCCCTTAGAAAATTCAGAAGGTTTTTGTTCATGGACTTGTAACTCTTCCTAAAACACATAATTGAAGGGAAAATAAAATTTTGTTTTTCAACTTTATTTTCTGGTACCCATATTACTATTATTCATACATAGAAACTGAGAGAACCATTGAATTTCCCCCAATCACTTGTTTTTGACTAAGTCCGGGGAGTTACAAACCGAGGTACCGTCATGGGTCAGATAAATGCTACAACTGAGTGAAGTATTCTAGCTATAAGACAGCAGAAGAGGGCCAGGCTTTGGCCACAGCAGAACATGGCACCTGCCTACCGGCATTACAGTTTATAGATCTGTACACAAAAACTGTGCCAACATGCACGCGCACATGCGCACGCATACACATACACCATACACACACACATACATATCCTATTGGAAGAATTTGGCCCACAGGGGCTGGCAGTTTGCAATCTTAACTTCTGATTTTTAAACAACCTGTGCTCCAAGACAAATTTAAAGGATTCCGACTGAGAATTCATTTGCATTTAGAAAATCACAGCATTATTTCATGACTATTATAAATCTAGGAAACTCAAACATCTCCACCTATTTTGAAAATCTTTTCCAAATGTAAATTAATGGATATGTTAATTTGAAAGTGAATAAAATGACAAAAATTAGAGAAAAAACGAGATGTGAAGCATTAGACCTGGCACACCATACAGCCATCATGCACACATGCTTCTGTTTTTTTATCACATTGAACCACTTATAATTACCAGTCTGTTCTCTGACACACCAAAATAGTGATTTTACATGGTACAAGCTAATAATATGTAAACAAACAAGCAATTAGAATGGATTCTTACTAAAATTAAAAGAGTTAACTTTAATTCTTTACAAAACCTGAGATTGCTGTTTTAAAAACTAGCCTTTTTTGAAGTTCTATCAATATTTTGATACTCAGCCTTACGGATTTTTAAAAAAATCTTTTTGAGGGACTGTTTAATTCAATTTATGATTGTTGTCATTATCATGATCTAGATCAGGAGTTAACAGTCTGAGGGTGGGCAATCAGTTTTTAGAAAGTCTTATTGGAATGCAGCTACTTTCAAGCATGTTTGTGTGTCTATGACTGGCTGCTTTCATGCTACAACAGCAGGGTTGAGCAGTTGTGATGGTGACCAAATGGTCTCCAGACCCAAAGTATTTATTATTTGGCCCTTTAAGGAAAAGTCTGACAATGCCTGGGGCCTAGATTGACTACCTGGGAATAATTATGCATTTTGGTGGCCTTTTACTAGCCTTTCTTAACCCTTTTTAATACCATAAGCCCCTCTGGTAGTCTGATGAATCCTATGGACGGTTTTGCATAATACTTTTTAAATAAAACATAAAATAAATTATGTAGAATTATAAAGCACAACAATTACACTGGGTTACAGTCATCAAAATACTAAAGATAATTTATACTCTAATAATATATGTTTCTCTATTAATACCTTAAATGACAAGATTTAGTGGTGCCCTTTCTAATGTCATAATTTCAAAGAAGCAATAAGGGTAATAGTTACAATCACAAGATAATTGAAAAATATCTGATTTTTTTAATAACAGTCACATATAATGTTCATCCTACCATGTTTGTTAACTATACACATAATTGAAATAAATATTACATTTTGGTTAGACATTCATGAAAATAAAGGAACAATTTTTCCCACGTGAGGTCATTTTATCCATGAACTCCTTGGGAGTCTGTGAAGCTCAGATTCATAACACCTGCTAATATCTTCCCATATATCACAAAGGAAATGACAGAAGTCCCACACCAAGAATAATGAAAGAAAGATGTGTGATTTTCCCACCCTGCTTCAAGAAAGCAAACCCAACATTAAAATGTCAGCTGTATTCAAAAAGAGTTCATCTCTTTTAAATTACCTGTAACTTTTCTCTTTCCTCTTCAGACAGTTGATGTAATTCTATTTTTTGAAGGACCTTTTCAGTCCACTCATCAATGGCACTTTTTAAGTTAAAAAGTTTGTCCCATAAAGCTAGCGCATGACCAAGATTTTCATAGTAGTCTTCTGTCTTCTCATTTATCTATCATAATTTAGAAATAGAAATAATAGGCGTAAAAAGTTTGTAAACCATTATTTCAGTCGCACTTACAATAAAATTTTGGTTTACCTTTACTTGCTAAATAGTTGGCTTTATTCATAAAAAATAATGTTTTAATATATCATCTAATTCTTTCTTCTACAAAAAAAGATCTTAGCTGATTTGCTGCACTTCTATGCAATTAAAAACAAGTCTTCCTAATTTTCTAAACCACAATAAATAAAAGGTGCTTTTAAAAATCCAAATGAAAATATAATACAAATTCTTAATTTATAATTCATAAAAATATGATTACTACTCAAGCAAAAATTTATTAAATAAATACATAGATGAAAATCAGTATCCTGCATGGATGGGTAATACACTAACTGGTTTATTTTAAATAAGTTGAGTATCCACTTGGAAAGATTATAGACCCATTTGTTAGTAGTGCCTAACTTGGGGTGAAATTAATTCCTAAGTCATAAACTTCATGTTATTTAAACATTTTTACATTGAGCACTTTTGACGTTTGTAATGAGACAAAAATACTAAAGATACAACAGAAAAGATCAATTTAATTGCTGTAAAAGAGAATTTCTAATCAATTAAATTATCACTTACATCAAGCCATCTGTCCACAATAATGTTAGCTTCTTTCTCAAAAGGAGGCTCCTCAAAGGTTCTCATTTTATTTAGATGAAATTGTAGATTTTTGCAGATCTGGTTAATCTTGTCTACAATTTCCAAATGTTCATTAAATTCTTCTTTGACAATTTCAATCTGTAAAAAAGATATGAAACATGTTTTTGATATATTGAGAGAGAACTGGTAAGAATTACAATTCTATCATTGGCTATTCAGCTTAAAAACAACAATATAACACAGTATTTCCTTTGTACATTATATTTTTTTAAAGCAGGGTTTTATTGTCCCACTTTCTCAATGAAAAGTCTTTAGAACCCTAATCATCTGGTTTAACCATCTGGCTTAATCCTGTACCAAAATTTCTTAGCATTCTGTAGGATGATATAATTATAATGGTATAAAACCATGTTTTGTGTCCATGTGCAATAATATTCTACCACTCCATCTAATGGTATAAAAATGACAGCTCCTTCATTCCCCCAATAGGAATCATCTTTACAAAACCAAAAAACATTTGTGCTCATAAGAATAAAACAAACAGAACTCTAAAACATCTTTAATATGATTTCTATTTTATATATATATATTTTTTTTTATTAAAGTACCATTGATATACAATCTTATGATGGTTTCAAATACACAACACAGTGGATCAACATTCACCCAATCATCAAGTCCTCAACCCCTCCATTGCGGTCACTGTCTATCAACATAGTAAGACGTTATAGAGTCATTAATTGTATTCTCCATGCTGTACTACCATCCCCATGACCTACCTATGCTGTGATTGTGAACTGTTGTGCGCCTTTATACCCCTTCTCCCTTCCCCATCAACTTCCCCAGCCCCAACCCTTTGATAACCACTAGTCCTTTCTTGTGGTCTATAAGTCTACTGCTGTTCTGTTCCTTCTGTTTTACTTTGTTTTTATACCCCACAAATGAGTGAAATCATTTGGTATTTGTCTTTCTCTACCTGGCTTACTTCACTGAGCATAATACCTAGCTCCATCCACGTTGTAAATGGCAGGATTTCTTTTCTTTTTATGGCTGAATAATATTCCATTGTGTGTACATACATCTTTATCCTTTCATCTATTGGAGACTTAGGTTGCTTCCATATTGTAGCTACTGCAAACAGTGCAACAACAAACATAGGGGTGCATATGTCTTCTTGAATCAGGGATCTTGTTTTCTTTGGGTAAATTCCTAGAAGTGGAATTCCTGGGTCAAATGGCATTTCTATTTTTAGTTTTTTGAGGAACCTCCATATTGCTTTCCACAACAGTTGCACCAATTTACATTCCCACCAACAGTGTGGGAGGGTTCCCCTTTCACCACATCCTCACCAGCATTTGTTGCTTCTTGTCTTTGGGTAGTGGCCATACTAACTGGTGTGAGGTGATATCTCATTGTGGTTTTAATTTGCATTTCCCTGATGATTAACAATGAGAGGCATCTTTTCATGTGCCTGTTGGCCATCTGAATTTCTTCTTTGGAGAACTGTCTGTTCAAGCCCTCCACCCATTTTTTAATTTGTTCTGGGTGTTGAGGCATATGAGTTCTTTATATATTTTGGATGTTAACCTTTTATCAGATAAATCATTTACGAATATACACTCCCATATTGTAGGATGCCTTTTTGTTCTACTGATGGTGTCCTTTGCTGTACAGAAGCTTTTCAGTCTGATAATAGTCCAACTTGTTCATTTTTTATTTTGTTTCCCTTGCCCAAGGAGATGTGTTCATGAAAAAGATGCTCATGTTTATATTCAAGAGACTTTAGCCTATGTTTTCTTCTAAGAGTTTTATGGTTTCATGACTTACATTCAGGTCTTTGATCCATTTCAAGTTTACTCTTGTGTATGGAGTGAGCCAATAACCCAGTTTCATTCTCTTACAAGTAGTTGTCCAATTTTCCCAACACCAGTTGTTGAAGAGACTGTCTTTTTCCCATTGTATATTCATGGTTCCTTTGTCATATATTAATTGACCATATATATGTGTGAGTTTATATCTGGGCTCTGTGTTCTGTTCCATTGATCTATGGGTCTGTTCTTGCACAAGTACCAAACTGTTTTGATTACTGTAGCTTTGTAGTATAGCTTGAAGTTGGGAAGCATAAGCCCCCCAGCTTTGTTCTTCCGTCTCAGGATTGCTTTGGCTATTTGGGAGCTTTTGTGGTTCCCTATGAATTTTAGAACTATTTGTTCGAGTTCACTGAAGAATACTATTGGTACTTTGATAAGGATTGCCCTAAATCTTTAAATTGCTTTAGGCAGTTTTGACAATATTAATTCTTTCTACCCATAAGTATGGAATACATTTCCATTTATTGGTGTTTTCTTTAATGTCTGTCATGAGTTCCTTGTAGTTTTCAGAGTAAAGGTCTTTCACCTCCTTGGTTAGGTTTATTCCTAGGTATTTTATTCTTTTTGATGGAATTGTAAATGAAGTTGTTTTCCTGATTTCTCTTTCTGTTAATTCATTGTTAGTATACAAGAATGCAAGAGATATCTGTGTATTAATTTTGTATCTTGCAACTTTGCTGAATTAGTTATTAGTTCTAATAGTTTTTTGGAGGAGTGTTTAGGGTTTCTATGTATAACATCATGTCATCTGCAAACAGTGACAGTTTAACTTCTTCTTTACCAATTTATTATGACTTCTATTTTAATCTTCCATGACTCTAACTCAAATATCACTCCTAACAGAGACAGTGAAACACTATTAAAAGGCCAGTGATCTTAAACTACAAAATAAAATTTGAATGTTGACTGATATAATCTTAAAATGTCACTCAAATTAACCTTATCTGAGCATCTTTTTTTTTATTAAGGTATCATTGATATATATCTTATGAAGGTCTCACATGAGCAATATTGTGGTTGCAACATTCACCCATATTATCAAGTACCCCCCCACACACACCCCATTGCAGTTGAAGTCACTGTCCATCAGCATAGTAAGATGAGCATCTTTAATGATTACATAAAATTTGAAAACAAACATCTAAAACTGTAGGGGACTTTCATTTCTGGGAATATGGAGTAGACATACATTTCCCTATTCTTCCCACTAAGTACAATTAAAAACCCTGGACATGATATGCAAAACAAACTTAAGTAGATTAAAAAGGGGAGAGTTCAAGAAGGGAGAATGGCTCAAGTCATCGCTCCTGAAGAATAACCTGGTGGTATGTTCCCTGCATTTCCTTTTTTCCCTCAGACATCCCAGAGTGTGTGCTGGAGAAGCATACCTGGCAATGTCAATGTGCACAGACAAAAAAGCCCCAAGAAAAGCCTGTTCTCTTCAGCCAAAGATCCAGGCATGGGATGACCTAGCAAGACAGACAATTTTTAGAAACAAATTGCTCACTGGAGCAAAATACCATGGAAAAAACTGTGGCCCAACCCCGACCTGTGCCAGCAAAGGTCAAGGGTAGATCCTAGACTTCCACCAGCACCAGGCTGTAACAGGAAACCACCCCTACCACAAAAGGGTAGTGTCAGAGAAGGCCAAGTAGAGAGGTGGGACTTACATTCCTTCTGGGTAGTAACAAAGCACACACACACCCCTCCCCACACCGTGTCAGTGGAGGCCATAAAGGGAGGAGTCAAGTGGAGGCCTAGTGGGAAGCCAGAACTCTTGTGTCTGTGTCAACAAATGGTCCTTATTTGCAGATGACATGATTATCTATGCAGGAGTTCCCAAGGAATCCACAAAACTTGTTTATAGGTGTCCAGTTGCTTCAGCACCACATGTTGCAAAAACTCTCTTTCCTCCATTGAATTGCTTTTGCATCTCGTCAAAAATCAACTGGACATACTTTGTATGGGTCAATTTCTGGGTTTACTATTCTTTTCCATTGATCTATGAATTGATATGTGGGTTCAGAAAAGTCACAGGATATAAAATAAGCATATAAAAATCAATTGTACTTTTCCATACTAGCAATAAATACATGAGCACTGAAATAAAAAATATAATGCCATTTATAAATACTCAAAAAATCAAATACTTAGGTGTAAACTTAACAAAACATGAATAGGACTCATATGCTCAAAACTACAAAACACTGATGAAACAGATCAAAGAAGATCTAAATAAAAGCAGAGACTACTAAGTTCATGGATTGGTAGACTCAGCACAGTAAAGATGTCAATTGTCCTAAAACTGATATACAGTTATTTAATGCAATTATCATCAAATCCTACCAGTATTTTTTGTGGATATAAACAAGATAATTTTAAATTTTATATGGAATAGTAAATGAATTAAAAGAGCAAAACATTAGAAAAAATAATAAAGTTAGAAGAATCAGTCTACCTGACTTTAAAACTTATCACATAGGTACAGTAAGAAATTACATGGTATTGGCAGAGGGACAGACACATAGGTCTACGGAAGACTAAACCCAGAAATGCAAATGTAAAATAGTAAACCAGAAATGTAAATAGTAAACCCATACAAAATACATCTGATTTTTGACAAGATGCAGAAGCAATTCAGTGGAGGAAAAAGAGCCTTTTCAACATATGGTATTGGAGCACCTGGACACCTACAGACAAAAACACGAAGCTTGACGTAAGGCTTACACATTATACACAAACCTACTCTAAATGGATGATGGACTTAGATGTAAAGTATAATATATAAAGTTCTATAAAATATACATAGAAAATCTTCAGGATCTTAAGTGAAACAAAGAGTTCTTAGATTTTGACTCCAAAAGTATAATCCATGAAAGGAAAAATTGATAAACTGGACTTTATCAGATTTAAAAACATTGGTCTGCAAAAGACCCTGTTTGAGGATGAAAAGATAAGCCAGTTTGAGAGAAGATTGTCTGCAAGACCACATATCTGACAAATGACTAGTATATATAATAAAAAGAATTTTCAAAACTCAACAGTGAAAATAAACCCCAAATAATTTAATTAGAAAATGAGCAAAGATATGAAGAGATAGTTTACCAAAGGTGACATATAGATGCAAGCAAGCACAAGAAAAGATGATCAATAATACCATTAGTAATCAGAAAAAAGCAAATTAAAACCACAATGTGATACCACTACATCAGAGTGACTAAAATACAGAATTAAGACCATATATAATCCTAGCAAGCATGTGGAGAA